CTAATAGTGGCGTGGAGACGGTCTAGTAGTAGGTAATAGAAAGTAAAACTTAATATAGTGTCTGTATAGTTAACTTATATAAGTTTTTCTTCATTACCCCATTCAAGCCGTCTCCAGCCATTATTAAATAGATATTCGCAGAATTTGATATCAAAACAAAATTTTATAACCGCATTCGTCTTTTAAAATTTCATCATCACAATAAGGAACGTTACAGTATTTGTTTGGAAATTGAAAAGGTGGTTATGAGTAACTGTCATTCATCGGTTAAATAGAGGGCGCATGTCGTTATGATTAAGAAAAGCCTAGAAATATCTAGAACAAGTGGAGAATATAAACACGATGTTCCGTAAAGCATCAAGTTAGTGTTTTCTTCAAGATAAAAAGTTGTATCAGCCAGTGTGTTATCGTGAAGTATTTGTACGTTGTACAAATAAGTTGATTTGTTTTACGTTAATGTATTTTGTAACGTAGACCTACAAATTACGACTGTGTGCAAGTTTAAACTTGTAGAAAAATTAAAGGAAGAAATTAAGTAATTTGTTCTCGTTACGGGACTGAAAGTTGAATTATTTTCACCAAATAATTTTAAAAGAACCTGCACACGAAAGAACAATGCTACTTTTGGTGTCAGAAGTGGGATAATAATCTGGTGAACACATAATGGAACTTTAAATATAATATAAACTTAAATTTTTGAAAATGTCAACCATGAAATCAGAGTGAGAGAGAACCATTACTTCAGAAGATGAAATTACTGTGACAAGATCAGAAGGAACGAGACAAAACTTAAATAAGACCAAGTAAGAGATAGGAAAATAAAAGAAGACCAAGAAGTTAATAATAGAAATATAAGAGAAAAGTTAAAAGAAAGAGACTCTTTAGAGAATTAAAATCCAAAATAAATCTGATTGAAAACAAGGTCAATGAAACTATTGGAGATGTGCATAAAGATTACAACAGTAAAATTGAAAGAGAATGGAAAGGCTGTAATTAACAGAGTCAAAAGTGCAGTAAAAAATATGATTGAATTAGAAAAGAATATCAATAAAAGAATAAAACACGTAGAAAATGAGTTATTAGATGCGATGATTAAACCATTCACATCTCCTCCTACATTGGTTCAGAAGTTTCGGCATGGCATGTCATCTGCTATTAAATATGGAAAGTATTGTTAGAGTTCTGAATGAAACTTGTAATATAGGCCTACAACAACTTACAACAGTGTACAAGTGTTCAAGCTACTTATGCAGCCCATAGATCAATAGTTTCTTTCAATGAATTAACATCAAAACTAGCTGTACAAACATCAGGATGAAATTCTGTACTGATTGAGTAAACTCAAAACTGTCTTAAACTGTGTATTCACCAATTGTATATTTTCAAAGAAATCGTACTAGAAACCCCGAAAAACTGATTATAAGAACCAACAATTGTACTCACAGGTCAACTCAGTTTATAGACTTTCAGCATACTACACATAATTCCTACCATTCAGCTCGAAAATACCAAATACTCAATATCTTGACAGCTTGTGTAAGGTGGGCTGAAACACCATCTTGTACGAAGACTGTCTCGTTCAAAATTCCTCTTCCATGTATTGAAAGAACAACATGTTCTAAGTTAAATCAGCAACCAGTTCTGGTTGTTCAAATTTTTTTATCGGTTTTCAATAAAAATATGCACACGTTTGAGTCAGTCAACTGATATGCAATAAGTTAAACATCTCACAATTTGGGAAGAAGAGAGTAAACTCAATGTTTATGTAAAGCTGGCTTTAGATTTTCAATCACTAGATTCTCATGAACCTGTTCTTCATCCTCAGCTCTTCTTATGTTAAACATATTGATCAAAATCATAAGTGACATTCGGTATGCACATGATGAGCTTATCTAGATGTCCATTTCTCAGACTTTACCAATGTGTGTTGGTATATTCCTTTATTGGATCCAATATATTCCTTGGAACACCAAAAGTATTACAATTTTTGTACCTCAACATAATGTTTACTCTTGATTGTTCCCAATCACATCTTTGAATATAAATTCTTTATTCCCAAAACTGATTTAAAGACAAAATTCAGTTTTCTAAAGCAATAAATGTACTGATTTGTATACTGTGGCTTCTAGACAAGTTATATTTTCAGCTAATTTCATACTTCAAACTACATTTGTGACTTTCTGTACATCTTTTTTTTTAGTTCTAGCACAAAGCTACACAACAATGCAATTATGATCTGTGCCTGCTACAAAATTTAAATCGATTTTTAGCACTATAAACCCTAAACCTCATCAATGAACCACCAGGGGATCACAGTAAGACTAACATATAATATTAGATAAAACTTTAAAATTAAAAACTGTGAAATCACTTGAAACAATTTACTTCACGAAAAGTTTTGTGTCTGCAAATACAATGTTTAACTAAAACTTGTCTCCTGTACCTATCTGTTAAAAGTCCATGTGATCAAGTACTTTAAAAACATTCTTAAGTGCAGGAGGAATTTCAGAATCAAATAAGTACAAACGGTGTTTTACTTTCTTCTTGAAATAGTCTCAAAACTACAAACTTAACTTTACTGACACACAAAATATTTTGCTACGAATGCATCATCATTTATATACAACGTTTGAGAATTTGAAACTTATTTAACAAACTTTTCCATACCTAGATGTCTTAGCTACTAGACAAAAATACACAAAGTTTGAAAATATGCACTGAAACATTAATAACTAATGTTAATAAACTAATCAAATTTTGGTTTGACATAGTTAATCTCACCACGATTCTGTCTTATTAACTCTCTTATTCTCTCCTTCTTTTCTTCGTGGGTTTCAGGTTTTGGCTTATTTCGGATTCGGTGAATAACGTTATGAACATATTCTTTAGCATTGAATGATTCAGCTTCCTTAACTTGACTCAGTAATTCTGCTTGGAAGTGTTTCTCTTTACGTTTTTCTCTCTTCTGTCGAACTCTTGCCCAAACAAAGCGCATACGTTTGCGAAGTTTTTTCAATTTGTGTTTTTTCATTTTCTTTTTTCGTATTTGAATCAGGACAGCAGCTTGTTTTACAACCTGTTGATGTGACAATGGTGGTTCTATCATGTTCGACATCTTATCAGTTGGAGCCTCTTTTGGTATAATCTTCTGAAGTGGGAGATCATAGTGAAAAATTAAGTTCTGGTTTGTTATAGATGGCAAAGAAAAGTTCTCATTTCTGTGATTTCTGTACTCAGGCAAAATTAAACAGGTTATTTTGGACTCAAGGGCAGAAACACTACACCGAGTTAAAGCACTGTCGATAACCAAAGCAGTTATGCTGGTACTGGTCTCTGATGGCTGAATGTTTGGTATAAATTTTGAAAACAGCAACCTATCTTTTGCAAGAGAGCTTTCATTATATTGACCAAAGATTTTATGAACTGGAAAGAATCAAGAAAAAAATCCAAATAATTTTATGTCTGTAACTTGAGCAAAATTGTTTAATTTGCAACATGAAAATAAAACATGGAAACAATCACAATACAGATTTTATAAACGAAAAAGATGCAAGCTTACACTTGATTTTCTTACATTTATAATTCTAATATATGAATATTTGGAGACAGAACTTTTTCTACAACAAATATTAATTTTTTCTACATTTGTTTCAATAGAGATTCCATTAAAATTCAAATAGCAAATATGAGAACTTAAATCACCAAAATGTAGAAAAATTAATATGGCCTTAGTGTATGTTTTTATTTCTCATTGACTAATACATGGTACAACATGATGAATAAACATACCTGTTTTAAAACATTTCTACATGTACATTTGTACCTTAGGCTGCTTAAAAAGCATGAATGAAACTAAAGCAGCTGACCATGAGGTGATATTTTGCATGGTGGACGATTTAAGACTTCACCAGTTTTTTGTTTTGACATATATTTCATCAGATTCTGATGAAGACTTCCCATTGCAAATTGAAATGTTTTCAAAATTTCACCAAATAAACCCAACAAATGAAAGGAGGCTACTTAATTTTCCAAAACAAAACATATGAAGTTTCATTTAAATAAGTAGTAGTTTTTTCTCTTAAATCAACATAAGTCACTACATACTACAGACACGCATATACCCTGAAAAATGTCTGATGTTTGACTAATCTAAAATATTTAATTTTCAGGTAAGAGCTCCCTAATCTAATTTTATTTTCTGAAACAACAGACAATACCACAAATCACACACCTACTTATATTTTCTTTGTTTATAAAACAACTAGCCCAATGAAAAATCTCTATAAAAGTTTACAACAGACCTGTACAATTTTGTTTTGACAAAAAAAAAAGCACCAAATATTTCTAATGAAGATATCTATTCTATATTTCAGATTCCAATTTGACATTGGTTAAAGAAAGTATCAAGCTAAATAACATATTTTGACCTAAATTGTATATATATAAGTAGAATAAACTATCGAGAGTGTCTCCCAAAGAAGGGGTATACCTTTTTGAGTGCTCATCTTGGCAGTTCTTTCAACATTCAATACACAAGGTTTTGTAAAACACTGCTGAGGAAGTCCACGGCAAAACTTTAAAAGTCCTGAAAGAATCATGTTGAACCAATAGATTCCCTGAAAAATTATATTCTTATATGAGAAAGAACAAACACTCATTTTGAAATAAGCATTAGAATTGAAGTATTCAATTTGAAACAAGAAAAATAATTCAAGTGCTTATCCAATGATCTTGGTAGTGTCTACTTGATATTCCTGATAACTTGGTAAAGCATCACTGTCAGAGCACTAGTATAAACTTTAGCCTTAATTGTTTATTTATTTCTTCACTTGCATATTTTGAGATATCAGGTTTCCAAACCAGCATTCTTGCTTTTGAAATTTAAAATCAGTTTTTATTATAACAAGAAACAAAATAACAATGGTCTAATTAACCCATTCAAATCCTCTCTTGCCTCGAGAAATGTAAATAACCTAACATAATTAATATACAAACAAGAAATAATTTCGTCTTTAAAAGTTTCAGCTTCAAGTTCAAGACTGTTATCAATAATTTCCTGAAAAGGTTGGTTTAAGCCTTTACTTTTCTCAAGGCTGGGCGTGCAGAAACAGCTTTTAACTCTAAAATACAAACCGTCATTTTTTGTCCGTATGCTAAATTTTTGTAAATAAAAGGTGCAAACTTAGTACACCTAGTTAGGCTTAGTTACTCTTAGTTTTAACTTTCTCCAACTCTTAAGTTAGGCTTAAGCATTAATATTGAAATACGGTAAATAATAGTATTTTTATTAATGCAAAAGTTTTGCAAATATAATTACTAACAGTAACAACAATATTATGAACAATGATAAATTTTGGATCCAGACTGTAATGCTTACGCTGAAATCATCATAACTTAGTCAAAAAATGTTCAAAGCGTTTCCCTCACGCGTTCGGCATGTTTCGCTGTCCCAGTACTTACCAATACTATTAGTATTACTACTACTACTAGGCTTAATTTAATAACGCATTATTGCTTCAATTACTTACTCGCTTTCAAGTTACAATTTAAACATAGTAGCTTTAATATCACCTACAACTTCCAAATCATATTTCCAAAAATTATAGTCACATCCCTATCTCTGACTAAAGAGTGGCGCTGGGACTTCTTTCGTATATGGAATTATTTAATAATTTGTTTCTATATAATATATATATTTAAATACAATATATTTAATACTTAATATATTTCGGCTGTTTAAATAAATAAATCTAATGTAAGAACTGTTTTTATTCATATAAAGTAAACTCATAATTAAAATTTTATAAACTAGCAAATATTTTTATTTTACTACTGAACATTAAAAAAATTAGTTGATCTCCCTGTTAAACATTAGAACCTTGTTTGATATGGATATTTAGAAATCAGTTGAACAAAATATAAATAGAAAATAATAATTTCATCTAAGTTAAGCCATTATTTAACCTACTGGATTTCCACTTCGTTTGTAAAGAAAAGTAAGTTACAAAACATATTCAATGGATGGCAGCACTTTAGAAAAACTCCCATAGTAGCAATAAAATATGAATAAAATGGTCCTTTAAGGCTGTCCTTACACATCTGCCATCGAGATAAAGTAAAAGGTAAGCCCATCCTTTATTTTTCAGAAAGTTATCGATTTTCCTTTTCATGTCTCATCAGATATCAGCTTTAACTACTTTTGACGGTAACTCATTCCAGAAGCCAATCTCCTTGTTGAAAAATTAAGCCATTTTAACTGGAGTCTCTTGTCCTTTTCAAATGTTAAACTTGTATTCCCTCGCCATATTATCTTCAGAACATAGCACAGAGAAGTCAGAGTCCTTTGTCTTATCAATCTTCTGGCTAATTTTGTAAACTTCAATAAGTTCCTCTTTTACTCTTCTTTTCTTCTAAAAATCTGAATAACAAAGAAAAATACAGAAATATGTACAAACAGACACACTCTTTTTTAGATGTCTGTGTCATCCACGTGACTGAGGGTCGATCTGACATCAACAAGGGAGTATTAAGCCCCAAGGCATCATCCTGTTTACCACAAGAAACAATCACTGTCATTATCTATAAAATATCTCATGGTCTTCTCATGCGCTACCATGTCATAATCACCAGTTATCACCTGACCCACAAGTGGAAAATATTGCTGTCCATCTTCACTTAGTATATTCTATCTTACAGCAATCTTTCCTACCAGAAAGATCACGAGAACTTAGTCATATTCCTTGACCAACGTTCTACTGCACACATGGCTGGAGGCGTGCATGTATAAAAATGTTTGCAAATTCTGGGTGAACTTGAAAGCTCACCTCAGTAACTAAAGAAGATAAAAAATAGTAAATAGTGAAATATAAAAGTGTGTAATGTTTTATTGAAGTTGTGTTGTAAATATGTTACGTATATGAATTTCCTCACAAAAAAAAAAAAGTGAAGTCTGGAAGCCTAGATGAAAATCTTTTTTACGAAAAATTTTACTTTTCATACCTCTAAACTTATTATTTCTCACAAATATTGACTGCTTAGTGATTTTTTTTTAAAGTGGATGTAAATATATTTGAATCACCTAAATAAGGATGATATTTGGTTATTGAGGAGTTTCATTTTTATAATATATATATATATATATTAATTTATTTTCTGCTAATATTGTGGAAAATGAATTCGTACATTAAAGTAACATAAATACATCTTTTTGAATTAAACATTTTATTAGCATAAATTCAGTGGCGGAACAAGCATTTCAGGGGCCTCGGGGCAAAGAAATGATCGGGCCCTTTTTTCCCGTAGATAAGACAAGACTAGGCCCCCATACGTCGCGGGCCCCGGAACATTGCCATGCGCTAGTTCCGCCTCTGCATGAATGATTTTCTATTAATTTATGCATTCCATACATAATAATATGTAAGCGGTAAGTTTACAGACTTACAAACTAGAATAGAAGGTTCGGTTCCCCCATGGTGGATAGAGTGCAGATGGCCCATTATATAGCCTTGCTCTTCGAAAACAACAATATGTATGGTAGAGGCACAGCCGTATAGACCATCGTGTAGCTTTGCGCTTAACAACAAACAAACAAAAGACTTAATATAACTTTCTGTGATGATTTTTTGGTGTTATTATCGCCCTCTGTTGATCATACGTATTGTAGTCACGAGCTTTCGTTATTGTATTTTTTTTATCTTGATTCAGTAAATTACGTAAGTAAAGCGTAGTCCGAGTCTGTGTGTTTCGTAATAGTAGTTGTAATACTTATATTAAGGTATAACAACTTATTTATTTGCCTATGGTTAAAAACTACTTCAGCAAGTGCTATTATACACAAAGGTAGTGTTTCTGTGGGTTGAAACTGTTTTTATATCATTAGTGTCTAATGTTCCACTAAAATATACAGCGCAGCCTCAAAGTTAAAAGAAAAAACTGCGCAACATCGATACAAAATTGCGAGAAAATTGGGCCTAACTTAATAGTACAAGTTAAAACTAAGGCTTACTAAGATTTAGATTATAGTTATTGCTTATACATATTCTGAAATAGTAATTGGTAGGCCTACATTTGACACACTTGCGTGCAGTCTTGATGAAAAATACTCCTCTGTTGGGATCCCCACCTCCACCAGCTACATTCATCAGGGAGGGTATTCCACTTTTGAAACCTTCCGTTAAATAATTTAAATTACTGGCTAAGTGTTGCATAAGATCTAACGTCAGACTTAAAGATCTATTTCACTTTCATGTTTCGTCATTAGAAGTAGTACAGGTACAGTGGTAATACTAATAAATAGTATTAGTAACGTTAGTAATACAACTACTGAACTAGTACTACTATAGTTACCTCATTGTAGTAGACTCGAACTTTTGTAACTGTTAGTACTAATATTAATAACTTATTACAGTTTTTCCAGACTACCACACAGTAGACTACTGAAAGTGAACCTGTATCTTCTAAGAGCTTGACAGTGATAACGTATTGAAATTTGAAGCTTAATTAAAACTTCACAAGTAAGAGTACCAAAATCTTTTGAAGTCAGTTTTTTGCTCAGCGTGAGATTTGAGTCATTTCAAAATGAATATTCCTAATGCACCACTGAAGGTAAGTTTCAATATCATTTATTTATAAACTTTAAACTAAAATTTTTAAAGCTATTTCACCTTATCTTTGTTGGTTTATCTGTATAATGGTTATTTTTTTGTTGTAGATTTTAAAACTTTCATTAAAAAGTAACCACTCCCAAACTAAAAGCTGAAATCATATCTAATTTATAAGTGTTTGTTTCCACAAATGAACCAAATCAATTTTGTATTGTTTTGAAAATGGTGATGCTGATCTATAGATACTTCACAGGAAGTATTAATATAAGAAAATAGAAATTAAAGTAATTAAAAAGTACCTGGAAAAACCCTACTTTTTAACTGACACTCATGAGCCTTGGCATATCTAGGGTTATGCTGGCTGATTTCCTACCATTACTTTAAAGACTTTTTTTTTTCCAATCCTGATTTCTAAAATAGTGCTTCAAGTTCAATCTGCAGTGCAACTTCTAACACATTTTAGGGGCAAACTATTTCAAAGGCTAGCTTTTCTATTAGGAAAAAATAACATTGCCTTAACTGGAATCATGTTTGAGTGTTCCATATCTTAAATTTGGATTCTTTAGTCTTCTGTCTGCATATTTTTTGAAAACGTCTTTTGGATTTATGAATTCCAAATTTCTAACAACATAAAAACCTTTTTTCAACATTTTCTTCAGAAAACAAATGTTATTTTAACTTATAACTGTACAAAAACTCGTTTGAATCAGTTTTGTAGCTCTTCTTTGAAACCGCTCCAATAACTTCACATTATTTCTTTAATAAGGTGACCAGAACTGAAAATATATTCTTCTATTTAAAGTCTAACCAGCACCTTATAAACTGAACTGATGAATTCTTTCAATTTTTATATCCATACAACATAAAATCTTGTTTTCCTTATTACTAACCACTATACATTGTTTAGAAGGGTTTATCGACTTTACATAGCAGGGAATTCTCTTATTGAGTAAACTAGTAAACTGTAAAGTTCTTTGTAGAGGAAATATGAAAAATCTAGGTCAAGAATTTGTCCTGTCAGCTGTTAAAGTATATGATATTGTATAACAAGTTGACAGTTTAGTTGCTGTTACCAAGGTGTTTCCCTTTTTGTAGGAGTGAGTAATGTTGCAAACTGCAAATTAGAAGAGTCTAATATATATAAAAAACCCATTCAGAGATAGAAGTGTGTCCCTTTTGGGAGTGTCCCTTGCTAGATTTAGAAGTAAATTAGTTAGCAGAATACAATGCTTAAATGGAATTTTACCAGGGATATTCTTAAGAGTAACAAAAGAGATGATTGGAACAGTGGGATATTTTTCAGTCTGAGGGTGAATTATGTGTTAGAAATGGGCTCCGGTCAAAGCCACAGGCTCAAGGCAGAGAAAAATATTGTTCTTTTGAGGCATTATAGAATATATCTAGAAATGACCTCTTGCAGTTTTAAGTATTTTGGGGGGGCTGTTATCCATAAGTGAATGTCAAGTACTGGAGAATGAGTGAGGGGGGGGGGTCATTGAATAAGTTTCTTTAGTAGGTATATGATGTTTGAGAAAGCTCTTAATATATTAATTTAAAATAGTTGAAACTAAACCTGTATTTTGGTGAGGGATTTAGGGTAATTAAATGTTAGTAAAGTGGTGGAACAGTTAGGGCAGTGAAAAGCTTGGAAATAGGAAATTTAAAGCATAGTAAAAGATTAGTTTTAAAGATGAGTGTAACATGTTTATAGATAACCATAGTAGCATCAAGAACAAACTTAGTTGCTATTGCACTAATGTTAGCATTATAAGAAACACAATAGATGTCCCAAGACTTGTAATGCTGAAACTGGGTTTTGATACTCGTGGTGGGCACATAACAGATATCCCATTGTGTTGCTTTGTGTTTAACAAGAAAGAAACAAAATAAATGTTTTCAGGGAATTACTGAAACATGGTTATATTTGGGAGATATTGATATTTTGATAATAGGAGTTATTTTAGGTTATATAGTAGTTATAGGCTTTAAAAGATTGGCAAAGTGGCTCTTTATATAAGGGATGAACTACTTTTACAAGGCAGTACGTCATAAATGTTGCAATAATTGAGTATTTAAAGCAATCTGAACTGATAATATATCCACAGCATAGATTTAAACAAGGTCGTTCATGTCCTGGTGTTTTTAATTGTTGTAACAATCTCCACACTATCAATTATATGTTAAGACAGATGCTTACAGTGTTGAATGATGTCACTTACAGATTTACAAAAATATGACAGATTCAGTAACATTTGTCAACAGTGTTTATTGAAAATACAGAAATGTTTGGAAACAAATATGAACATCTGACAGTTAGTGTAGCTTTATAACTTAATGTTGTTACAGTAGGTTATACACTGTTAAATATTTGCTTAACTGTGATTTATTATGGACATACACTTTAACATCTACTAAAATTTAAATTTCTTACAATTTATGTACAATAAAGCCAAAAGGTTCTTCACAAAGAAAAGCCCTTATTATAAAAGGGGGGTACAAAGGTAAGCTTACCAGTAGTACGTTTTCATAATTACAAATAGTAATTGTAGATAGTAATCTTTCTCAGTACATTATGCCTTTTTTTGACAGATTGTTTAAAACTGAATTAAGAGATAGGTGATCCTTCAAGGACAATCTTTCTAAGAAGACCCAAACTGTGATACTTCAAACTTGTCCTGGTTTTTGTTTTAATGAAATCTTACCGAATCCCTGTTCTACATCAACTGTATTTACAGACACTGGTAAATTTATGGTAAACAACTATTGCATGAAAATTCTCCACCTGCTGCATGATAACAAGCTGATCAACCTCCATTAATGTGGTAACTGTTAGTATTTTAAACTGATCAAATTCACCACCACAAGCTTTTCCTCTGAAGGCCTCCAAAATTGCAAAATGATCTGACAACCCAGATAATTCAGACCTTCCATTGGTTATTGTATTTTGTCACTTGTGTATAAAGTTAAAATCATAAATAATATTCAACGTTAAAACTGGTACACAGTTAAAAACATTTTATTTAGGCCTATCTATGGCCTATCTATTCTGAGGATGACGTTGTAACATCGAAACATTTAGGGTCGTTAACTTTTTGAAGGCCATAGATAGGCCTAAATAAAATGTTTTTAATTGTGTACCAGTTTTAATGTTGAATATTATTTATGATTTTAACCTTCCATTGGGTTCAAAATTGTTATCCTCCATCGATTTAGGATACAACTTGAGATTAAATACTATAGACAGAGTTTTCAAGAGAACATGCTGGTTTTCATCAATAAACCTGTCAACCAGTATCATCACAAATTGGCCAAATACAATTTGCATGCTCTTTCGTCCTCACTCCTACCTTTAGAACTATCTTTAATTTTACATCCCTCAGTTTCAAATCATAATAGCCCATCTTCATTACATACTAGAAATCTAAGCAAAGTGCTTTGAATTTGGAAAATACTAGATCCTGCCAAAATTTTTATCCCCTTTTCATACCATTCTCACCATTAAGTGCACAAAAAGATAGAACATTTCTCTTAACAATCCCAATCACCTTAATCAGATCCCCTCTAATTTTTCTTTTTCAAAAGAAGATAGTTTCAGAGATCTTAAACTGTCCTCATATGAGAACTTTTCCATCACAGGTATCATAGTAATAGCCCTCCTCTGAACTTTTTCCAGCAATCCAATGTCCTTCCTAAGGCCTTTAGCCCAAGACTGAATACAATACTTAAAATGAGACTGAGTGAGTGACCTCTACAATGAATTTCTAACCTCTTTAGACTTGTATTCAATATTTCTACAAATACAACCATAAATCCTATTATTGCCCTACCACTAACAACAGCACTCTGTTTGGATGGCTTAAGATACTGATCAACCAAAAAACTAAGATCCTTATCTTCCATAACACTGTTAAGGTTATTTTAATCAAATTTATACTTATAATTCAAATTACAACCCACATGCATTACCTTGCATTATTATAATTTCAAGTCATCTTTTTGCCCAAATATTCTGAACCTTTTTGTAAAGCAGTAGTTTCTTCCTCTTAGCCAAGAACATCGAAGATCGTAATATCATCAGCAAGTTTAAGCAATTTATTAACCCTTCCTTCATCAATGTCATTGATGTAAAACATGATTGTTAAAGATAAATGGATAATTTCTCTCTTTTATCATTTTCATTCCATTTTTTAAGTTTTTATAATGAGGATTATATATATAGACACACACACACACACACTGTGATTTAGATCTTTAAAGTGTGACCAACTATGAGAACCAAAATTTTGACTTGAAATATCAAGTAGTGTTTTACAACAGAAAAGATGGGACCAGAATTTGCTTTTCAGGTACTAAAAAACAGGATTTTATAAAATGTGTTGATGGTTTAGTTACAGCAAGCAAACAGTCGAAGGAATAGAGCTAATTATAAGAATGTTGTTTTTGTGTTTTGAGTAAAAGTAATAAACTCAGAAAAGTTGTAAGAGATATTGATCATTAATTTTTGCAAATGCTGTTTTGTTTAGGAACTTAAATATCAATTTTGTTCTGTGAATTATAACTCTGTCTCTTTAATTCTCGTGTTAAACTTAATAGTGTTTATATAAATATTTTTTGTAATGAGTGCAGTTTGTTACAGAAGCCTGATACCAACACTTCCGTTAAAAAGGTTTTGTTAAGTGAACAGTCAATACAGTAAAGTTGTTGCTTGCTGTTTTGTTTTAAGAAAGAAGCTTCAGAGATACTTAATCAGTATTAAATTAAGTAAGTAATCTATGTTGGGTACTTTGTGTTAAAAATTTTCAAAAATTCACAATTGTGTTAGTGAAATGTATTTATCGCATATGCTTAAAAATTTTCAGAAACTCGTCAACATGTTAGTAAAATATTTACACATGCTTCTAATGTTTAAAAATTATTAGAAATTCACCACCATATTTGTTAATTACTTATTGCATATGCCTAATGCATTAAAATATTCAGAAATTCATCATTATGTTAGTA